TTTAAATATTAAAAAGATTATGCAAAATTATGCATATTATATATAATATATATACATGTAATTGCAACAGAAATACAGGCAATAAAATATAGCAATGTTACTGATTCAAAATGCATGCTTCTAAAAAATGCAGTTTTATTTGAGAAATTTCTTTAATAACCCCTTGCTCAGCATGCCCACAGGCTATTTTGAAATAAATTTTAATTTCAACATCAGCAAAAATCTTTGTCAGTTTGCCAAGATGTCTCCCGAGTACACTTTTCATATGGACAGACTTTCCACAAGACACAGACACAAGAACGATGTGGACTTTCTGGAAGCATAGAAAATATCCCTCCCATAAAACCAGGAAAGAAGAGGGATAGAGTTGGTTTCTGAAGACAGTTTACATTCTAGTATTTTACCCTAGGCCCTTGTTTTTCAAAAGTTCTGGAAGCTGCACGAGCAGAGGCAGAGATTGTGACAAGGTATCTTCCTAGGAGAAGATGAAGAAGTGGGCCAGGTAATGGGCAGCTCGGAGCGCTCAGAGACCCTCTTGAGTTCCATTCACAAATTACACTGTTCCCTTGGAAGGGCTCTCTGGAGAGCTGCATTGTTTTCTGGGTAAAGTGAGACAAGCTATGAAACATTTTCACCCAGGATGTCAACAGATGTGTCCCTAATAACAGTCAAAATGACCTCTAGGTTTGATATGACATATTTCTGTAATTCCTAAAACACTGGAGCATTGCTAGGAGACAGAGTGAGTGGGTCATGTCTGTGGGGTCACGTTATAGGTGAAATTGGTCATTATGTGAATAATTACCAATATACGAAAGCTACAGTAAGACAGCCCAAGGCCATACCCCTTCCTAGGACAGCTGGCAGCCAATGCCAGGTCACCATGGAGATCAGAAGGCCAGGCTCTAGTGCCCCAGCCCAGGACAGCGCCAAGGGCGCCAGCTTCAGAGACTGGCCTGGGCTGCCCTGTGCATCTGCACGTAGCCCACTGTCCCCCCTGTTGCCTCCGCAGTCCACTGTCCCCTCTGATGCCTCCATAGCCTACTGTCCCCTCTGATGCCTCCTACTCACGCCCGTTGCCCTACAGGCACTGCTTCCTGGACCATTCCCTAATAAATTCCACGCATGTAGTCTCCATCTCACAATCCCCTTCTTCCCCATTAGTCCAACCTGCACAGACATGTGGACACGCACATGCGCACAGGTGCCCAGGCCCCTACTGTCCTACCTTCAAGCAGTAGTAGCCGATGATGCAGAAGAAGGAAATGACGGTGTGCAGCACGGCCAGGATCCGCAGCGTGGGCTCCATGTAGCCGCTGCTCTCCTCCAGCACGTAGTGCACGGCGAGGACGCGGGGCGAGCCGCTGTCCAGGCTGCTGACCTGGGCATTTTCATTTGAGCTGCGCACAGGGAGCTCCTTTCCTTCAACCACAGAAGAAGTGGAGACCTGATTCAAACCATTTAAAGTGCAGTCAGTTCACTTCCTCTACGACATCAGTGTACACAAGAAACAACGGAAACTTGGCTTTAACCGCAAGTGGTCAGATGTGAAGCTACCGCATGGAGAAAAGTCTAGAGGCAAAGACTGGAAAGATCGTTCTCCAAAAACCAACGTTCTCCAAAAACCAATGGCAAGTAATGAACACACTTGTAAAATGCCTTCTAATTCACTGGGAGGTATGAGGATCCAGTGCATGCAGGAAACAACTAGAAGGCTAAGCTGCCTTCTCAATTATCAAAAGACGTGCATGTAACCCAGGTAATACCAATAAGCTATTCAGCCAGCTAGGCTGGGAACACGCAGGTAACCCTCTGCCAAGCCAGACACGCTCCGTAAGGCCGTCCTCAGTGTGGAGAGGAACATATCTGCCCAGCCTACAATCAGAGACGTGCCCGAGCGTTAGGTTTCTCTTTCATCAAATATAATTTAGACTGGATTTAGACAGGCTCACTGGTGGATCTATGAAATCTCTGCACTCAATTCAGGCTATTCATAGCATCGTATTGGTTATTCAAAGACTAAGGCGTACGTACCTTATAAAAGAGCAAGATGAAATTGA